CATAACATGAATTAGTACAACATGCACCAAATAGACGGGTTGATGATCCCCTGATACCAGTGGCTTCATGCTTCTCCTGCTTTTATTTTTCACTTTTGCATTAACAGATGAACTTTGCCCTTGTGCAGAATACAGACAATAGATTTTTGTTGAGACAAGGATGATGTCCTCCACGCTTACTGCAGAGCAGGAGATGAAATGATGAATACTCGTGCACTTGTGTGTAGGGAGAAAGCTGTAGGGGAAAGGCTGGTTGCAAATAGGCTTCCTTGTACAGAACATTTCTGAGTACTGTTCTGAAGAAATCAGTATTTTTAAAACATGATATTTATGTGGCAGATAAAAAAAGAAACAGCTGCATTAAGGAGCTACAAGAGTCACACTTAAAAAAAAAGGAAAGTCACCTCCTCTGTTCTTACCCTTTCCTGCACACAGAAAGAAGACAAGTGATACGATATACTGAGCTACTCAGTGGTGAAATCAATTTCTTCTATTTAAGCTCATGTACGTTTCTGATATCTTCTCTGAGGCCTACTCAAAGATGTATCGTTCTTCACTGCTACTTTTGTATACCTTGTTGAACACAATTAATAGCTCTATTATCTGTGACAGTTTATCTGGGGTGAATAAAGGAAAGACACCCAAAGAAAAGTGTGGGTAGAATACAGCTGCGTCTTGGATAGTCCTGTAGTCTTTCCTAGTTTTGTGGTGTTTACTATTATGACTTCATTTTATTTCAAAATACATAAAAAGAACAAACTCTCCCCATTGCAAAAATATGTGTGTAGACACAAGCAATTTTAATTCACTTGGCAGACTATTATTAGCTCCATTTTTAGCCTGAAACAGTAACTAATCCCATTAGTGGAGGGGTTTTTATTTTTGAAGTGATGGCTTAGGAATAGCCCTCTAAACAGCAAGTGAGACCTGCCTTTCCCGGACCTCCACTGTGCTCTTGGTAAAGGTGCTCCATTTTCTCCCTCTGCACCACATTTCTCAGATCATCACATTATTTGGAATCTTATCTGTATGCACTGTGCTAGTGACCCCTACTGTGGCTCTACTTTTAAGGTGCTCTTACACCACACTAGGAGATTGTCAATGACGTGTAAATTAAGCTGATTAAATTGTGGTGCACACCTAAGGTACATAACTGTTACTCAAATGTATACAGAAGAAGTAGTGTGTCATGGTAATATTCACAAGCAAGTGATGGAGTGTGAATCTACTAGACTGAAGCTTTGGGCTACAAGAGGCATTCCTAGGCAGGGGACCATTAGGTCACAGATCTAATCAGTTTCATAGAGAAGGGTCTAACACACGGTCAGTTAACCTTATCAGGACCTTTATGTTTTCACTCTGCCATCATGCAACAATGGTGTACTACAGGATATGTTATTTTAGAAGTACTTTAGGGAGTTTCAATAAAGCTTAGTGTATAACCCTGGTGTCATACCATGCAATAAAACCGAAACAAAAATATCCTAAAACCACTGAAACTGACATTAAAAATAAACATTTTATTTCCCATGAGCTGCAAATCACTTATTGCAACAGCCCCCTGTCCTAAGTTGTGACACACCATAACACACCTAAGCCTAAGCGTGGCACTGTCCCATACTAAATTGATTCCTGCCTTGAACCTCAGCCCAAGATAATTTTTCAGCAGTGAATATATCTAGTTGCAGTCTTACATAAAATAATATGATTCCCTTTGCTGATAGGAACAGTAATGAAAACAGCTTGAAGTGTATACTTTCAATGGTATGATAGACAGTATTGTTTCTTTTCCTTTTTTTTTATTCCATGTTCTTATCTGATAGCTTTGGCAAAGAATTAGCCACACAACCCTAAAAGATGCTTTCAGATGTTTGAGTATTTACACATTATAAAAACAAAGCAACAGCAAAACCTAGTTTCTAGTAGTGGAAGAGAGTTTAAAACCATGCTTGCTGGGAATGTTTTTGCTCTATCTCAGAAGCAGCCCCAAAGGCTGCAGGTGGTTGCAATGCAAAGGCACGTTCTTATACTGGAGCAGAATCACAGTTCTGACTGCAAGGAAAATGAACTAGAGTAGCTTATGTAAAACCAGGTGGAGAAAGACCTGCTTACGAAACAAGTTTTTCGCAAGGGTTTTATTTGCGCTCTGCTATTGTATTGGTGGGAAAAATCAGTATAGTGAAGAATAGAGGAATTTCTAAAAGAACCCCTGAAAACCAAACCCAAACAACAAAAAAACTCTGCTATCATCTCTTTGGGTGTGTGTTGGATTTATCTATTAAAATCTTTGCATCCCCTTGACTGTGGGGTATTTATGTCTTCACTCTTTCACCCGGAGGGTCAGCAGGAAATTTACAAACTCTGTTATATCTTGCCGTGGGCAGCCACTGTAACTCTGCCTTTGTTGGTCCAGCGGCCGCCTCTACCCTCTTTCTCTACACTTTGGGGAAGCCATCAACTACTCCCGTTTTACGGAAGCCTACTGCTCCCGTTTTAGGGAAGATTTTACGCAGGTCCAACACTGACATCCAGTGGCCACTGCGATTCAGGACACGCTCCCGGAGTCTGGACTATTTAAAACTTGGCTTGAAGTGGTACGTGCGGCTTTACTCTTCAAATGTATTAATTCAGCACTTAAATCAATGAATTTATGTGATTTCCATAAGTAAGCGTCGGTTGTTCCAGACAGTAATTATCAACATTACTTCAGAGACAAATATAAAGTATTCTGATAATTATATTTAATGGTACTCAGTACAAAGGTTTTGAAATATCCTTAAATGCTAAATTATTCAGGAATCCTAACTGCACAAGCATATTACGACTAACTGATAATTCTCTATATATATGCCAACATCTGTGCATAATGCATACTTACTTACACTCTGCCTCTCCCCAGTCACTTAATAATCCTGAACTTGAAATGCAAGTGCCCAAGTGCAGGCATCCATTTTGCACTATCTAACAAGCAAAACAAAGACCAAAAATAAATTTGCTTTTGTGTGAAAGGAGAAATGAAGATAAAGTGAACATAATTGAATATAATTCTTCAGAGCTAGTAGCTGAAACTATTGTATTTTTCAAGTGAAACTTGAAGTTAGGTAATTACTTGCAAGTATTTGTTAGTTGCCTGTTGGCTGGTAATTTTACTACTTGTTTTTTCTTCCTATTTTTGGTCAGTTTGTCTGGTACCCTCTGAACATCTGTCAAAAGTCATCATCCTTCAAACCATCATTTAAAAAACAAATTAAACCCTTCCCATGTTCAGATTATGCCTTTTTTCTTTTTGTCTTTCTATACACCAGCATATATAGGAACTCCTGAGGAGTTGCGTGCATTTGTTTGTTTGTTTGTTTTTTCTCTCTTGGTCTCTCTGGAAGCAACCACAGAATGCAATTGCTGTATCCAGCTGTGTAAACTGCTTCCTGCTGAGTAAGCCTTGATAGCAATGACTCAACAGATCCTCTTAAACATAATAATAACAATAATAATAAATCATAGTCTTCATCTAATTCTTTGCAGTAATGGGTGAGGACAATTCAGGACATTGTTTTGACTTTGTTTTCTGTGGCCTTCGTTTTATAAGACACTTTTAAACAAGGGGCTTAGAATCATCTGGGTTTTCACAGAAAATTCATGTGGGTTTCTTTTGACTACAGGGTGTTTACAAGGACAGGAAGAAACAGCTCAGTGTCCTGTTGGAAAATTTCTGCAACATTTCTTTCCTATTTTAAAAGAAGTGATTAAAAACATTACTATATGCAAGCATGAATCATTTCATGCATTTTAAACTTAACATTATGTAAGCTCTGGAATAGAGCTGGAGAAGAAAAACTATTTATTTGATGGATGAAAAAGTTTATTTCAAGCTCCACTTTCACCAAAGAAGATAGGCAATGCAATTTATAATTTCTGTGGGGTTCATATCTGCTTATGTGTTTAACATTCACGTAAAATACTAACTGCCTTGACCAAAAAAATCTTTTTTAACAGAAATACTTAGTTGTGGCTTAAATCCCTTGACCCTGCTCAGTTGCAAAGCCTGCCTGGGGGAAAGTAACTAAGAGCTCTGCACCACAAAGGAACAGGGATGGGAACTACAGTACTTTCCTCAGCTACATTCAACAGAAGTAACCTTACCAAACTACAAAATGCTGAGCACCTCTTTGGCCTTTCTCTACATGCTCTTTTTGTACAAGAGCTACCATAGAAAGTGCTGCATTGCCCTCCAACCAAGCAAAGGAGTGACAAAGATGAGTGTTGGGAGCTCTTGGCACTCCTGGCTGTTTTCCTGGTTTTTCTTTCTTTAGGGCCAGACTTTCTGCTTCCCTTTGTTTATGAGTCAAACTGAGATGCAGTGTGTGCAGAGGCGGTGTCAGGAGCTGGGGTGAGCTGTGCCCTGAAGTGTGAGCCTTGGGGTTTTGCTTTCCTGTTTTCTGGAGACTCTCTGATGTTGCTCCCCATGACCCGTTACCTAGGTGTTCTGTAGCCAGATTTGACAGCGCACGCCCCTTTGATTCTCAGAGGAATTAAGCAGTACCTACCATACCAAATCCATATTGCCCTGATTTGGCAGGGGAGTTGGCCTAGATGATCTCCAGAGGTCTCTTCCAACCCCAACCATTCTGTGAGTTTGTGATATCTTCGCTTTACAAATTAACCTGAGGCTTTAACTTGAGGTTTGAGCCTGATGCTTAACTGAGCCTTGTACCTGTCCTGAGAATACAAGATCCTGAACTAGACGCTAATCGTCAAGTACATGCTTTAAAATAACTATGTGTCACAGATGCTGACCTGGGATTACAACTGTCATTCGTCTTACTACTGAGTTAGTCTAGTCATATAATGAAACTAACAGTAAATGATTTTATTGCATAAGCTTTAAAACGCGCCAGGGTCCTCCCCGGGACGGGAGAGTGGCGGGAAGACTACAACTCCCGTCATGCTCTGCGGGGCGCCATGTCCGGAAAACAGCTGCTGCTCGCCGGCCGGAAAAGGTCCCTGGGCGCCACTTCCGCTCGCCATTTCGCGCCGCGCCTCTCTTCAGCGCCTGTGTGGCCGCCGCCATGACGGACCGGTACACTATCCACAGCCAGCTGGAGCACCTGCAGTCCAAGTACATCGGGACAGGCCACGCCGACACCACCAAGTGGGAGTGGCTGGTAAACCAGCACAGGGACTCGTACTGCTCCTACATGGGACACTTCGACCTGCTCAACTACTTCGCCATCGCCGAGAACGAGAGCAAGGCGCGCGTCCGCTTCAACCTCATGGAGAAGATGCTGCAGCCCTGCGGGCCGCCCGCCGACAAACCCGACGAGTCTTAGCCCGCCCCCGGCCGCCTCCCGGCTCCAGCCCCTGGGCGCTGTGCCTTAGGGGCGGGTGGGCCGGAGCGAGCGGCGGCATCGGGGCTCCGCTGAGCTCGCCTGCCCGCCTCTGAGACCGAGCCCTGCAACGCGAGGCTGCCGTTACGCGCGCGGGAAGGACCAAGGAGCCGCACCAGGGAGCAGAGGGAGCTCTGGCGACTGTGGCCCTCAGGCCTCGTGGTCCCTCTGCTCCAGTTGGTGTGGTCTCAGAGGACTCTGACGGGAGAGGCCTCGCAAAACGCCGGCTTCTGGACAGTTTCAGCTCTTACATGTACTATTGTTCGGATCTTTTAAGAATGGAAAATAATAAATCTTACTGGGCATTTCTAATGTTTTGTTTGATAATCTGCTAATAAGAGGTACTTGTTCTGAAAGGAGTGCTGGTTAAGCGTCATTAAGCGTTTATACAACTATCCGAGGTGCGAAGCTCAGATAACGGGTAGCATTTTCCCAGCGGGCATGGCTGGTGCTTGGTTGCCGGAGCTGTGTTTTGAGGATCCCTGCTGACGAGGGAAGAGTTTGTGTTGTTAGTGTTTGTTGTGTGTGGTGATTTGTGGTACAGCACAAGTCACTCTAGTGCTTCAAAACCCCAAAATTGCTTTTATTTAAATACGTTTTTCTTGCCTCATCTTCCTCTTTCCTGTACTTGTGTTTTCCAAACTTTGATTCTCTCTGATCCAACTTAGCTACTTTTTTTTTACTAGTGTTTTGTAATCATGTAGTGGGTTTGTTTTTTTTTCATTACTCTAAACAAGTGTATTAATGTGGGGCTAGGCACTATTAATATGGAACAGGAACAAACATTACTCACTGCTACTTAACAGTAAAATGGTTGTGCACTGCTACTTCAAAGTAAAATGCTTTAAGGTGAAGGAATCTTAGACTACAAACTGAACTATGTTGACTTTTGTCACTTAAAATAGGCCTTTTGTTCACTTCAAAATCTCAGTTCTAATGATTGGGAAGAGTAAAAAGTAAGAGATCTGTTGCTTGGAGAAACTAGGCGCTCTGATTTCAGACATGGATCATTGTAGCTTGGAGTGGCTGTGGTTTTGGTGTGGATTCTTTTTCTAACATTGAGAGGAGTGTTCAGTGTTTTCTGATCCTATTAAGACTGAATGCAAGCTTACCAATGATTTTTTTTTTAGTGGTTTTTTTTTTTTCCTCATCTCAAAACACCTGAGTCTTACTAAGGTACTCGTAATAATATGATAAAGTAATAAAAAGTGCACAAGCGCCTGGTGCCACGTTAAAGTCAGTACATTTATATTCTGAAGAATTCAGAGATGGCATTTTTCCAGTTTTGTTGCACATATTAAGATGGGGGGAGGTGGTGGTGAAGTGGTCCTAAATAAATGTTACCTGCAAGTTTTATCGGGAACTACTGCAATTTTCAGTAAATGAGGGTGACTTGTTTGGTTTTCACTTCTCATGCAAGCTGTCACAGGTGATTTGAAGGTTATCTGTTCCTCACATACTCAGGAATGTGGCTGAAAGTTTTTCACTAACTTGAGTTCAGGCACTTACTAGTAGGTGTGCAATGCAGCCTTGCAAAAAATGAGTAAATTTGTATGTAAATCAAACAAGTTTCCTATTACTGTTAGTAGAAGTCTGCTCCAGGATCAAATCTTAGAAACTTGCCTTTTCTCTGATAGGAAAAAGCAACATGCTCAGTGAAAAAGGGTGTCATGGGGGCATCCCACGGAGTAAGCTGCTGGTCCAGGTTCTCTTGCCTTACACATACCATAGCTATTCTGTCATCGAAAAAGACCAGAAACATCAGTTACTCTATTTCCTTGCCCAAAAGCAGCTCTGTAAGGTGTCTGGTCTGCTGGCAGCCAACAGGCAGTTGGTGTGTGGAATGGACAGCAATGTCAGGGTTGGTTCACTGGTGACAAAGGAGCTTGAGCCTCAGCGCAGGAATTCGGGAACTGGAAGAGCTGGGGCGAGGGTACAGATGCTTCTGTAACAGGGTGGAAACTGAGTTTGCAAAGTTCTGTGAAGGCGAGTCTTGAATCTCTTAACATGGAGAAACTGCCACTTAATCTACTCCTGTGTAAGTTAGAACTTCAAAACATTTCAAGCAAGATTTCTTTGAGACTAAACTGCTACGGTTAGCTCTATCAATGTGTGTTCTCAATACATTTTAAAATGTGAGCAACAAATGTATGACACAAAAGGAAAGATCAATGTCCCCTTGCAGGCTGTTATATAGTGCAAACAGCATTCAGAGATGGGTCAGTTACATGCTGAGCAAACTTGCTGGTTCTGTCACGTGTACTCACTTGGATCCCAGTTAAGCATATGCCTCTGTTTTAGTGTGGTTGAAAAAGGTTTTTAGGAGTGCCTGTACTAAGTAATATTTACGAGACATTGCAAACACTTCCTTAAGAAATGTAGAAAACCAAAGCAAAGTTAGAATTCCTGAGAGTTCAAGATAAACTTGAAGACAAATGGGAGACACTGAAGAGTGTGTTTCTGGGCTATGGTATTTTTCCTAAATCCCAAAGCATGTTTAAAACCAACGAAGGCAGTGAGCTCTTCTGGGTATTGGGCAAGAGTAAAGCATCGTAAGAATAGGGTTGCCTGTGCTACTGGAATACATCTGTTTTTTACCTCCATCCCAATTAAAAGATGAAGGGTACTGCTTGTTTAAAAATTTGCTGTATATCTGCATGATGTTCTTTCACATCCAAGCAGTATGGCTTTAATTGGACTATCCCACTGTGATCTCTGGCTCATTTTCCTGAGTTTCTGTAGCTTAATTTCACATAGTGTGAAGTATGAGAAATACAAGCTATTTACAATGTGATGTGCATTGACTTTGGTAAGAGGGAATGAATTTCACCTGCTTGTGTTCTGGTAGTTAACATGTCTTTGTAAATTCTCTGGAGAGTAGAACATACATGCATTTTTAATTAAATTCTAATGGATATTATATATAGTATTTAATGACTGTTAGCTAAAAATAGGATACTGAACCAATGCTAGGTTGTCTGGGATTTATGAATGCAATGAGAAGTAAGTGGATGGCAGGTGGAAGGAAAAAGATTTGCTTCTGGTGCCTTAATTATACATGATTGAAGAGAGGGAGAACCAAGCTTGACTCTTTCAGAAAAAAAAACAACATGCAAAGCTTCATGCTAAGATGGTTTATTTTACTTATAAGTGGGCTGTGCTTAAGCCAGAAAATATTACTGGAGAAGTGCACTGCCACCTCTATTTTTAATTATGTTTGCTACCATTCTCTTCTTAATGTGGTTCTCTTTTTACAACAGGTAGCATAAGTGTGAGGTTTGCTTTATATATTAAGAAATCTCCGCAGCTTGCTGTCTATGTTCTAGTTACTTTTCATTCTAAGTATATTTTTTCTTCTTGTGCTACACCAGAGGGCAGCAAATGCAGCTGCTGTTCAGCTGGAGACACAGATCATTGATAGAATTGCATTCAGTTGTACAACTTTGCTCTGAAAAAAAAATAGGCGGATACTTCTAAAAGTTGCTAAAACTTGCCAATAGTCAGAAATACTTACTTTTTCCGATGTAAGGTTCAAGACATGCATTATAGCTTTTATGCACCGTGGGTGAATAGAGCAGTATGGGAGCCCTAGCACAGTTGGAAAAAAAAGTGCATTTTGAGGTGGAATCAGAATTTTTGAACAGGTCAGTTACAACAGCATTTAGTTAGGTTCATGCAGGGCATAATTAAACCCATGTTTTCTTCTCTGGCACAGCTGGCTTAGAAGTTCTTCATAGTCTGATGCCTCTTGGGTAACGCTGATAATGGTGCTTGTGGGGCTGCAGTGTAATAAATCACATTGCTGAAAGATTGTTAAGATTAAACTTGCAAAGTTAGAGTTTGTAACCATCCTACCAAGCCCTGAGGTTACATTTTATATCTGATTTCTCTCATCACATTTTTAGCTTGACCACACATGGCACTGGCACAACTGCATAGTGAACTGCTGTGGGCAGACTGAGAATAACCAGGCTGATGCAGGACTGTCTGAACTCTGGAGCATTTGTATTGTATGTCCTGTTTGGTATAAATATTGAAAAAAACAAATATACGATGCTGATGAATAGAGAATAATAAATGCTTGTGTTTTGTGATTACTGCTGATGGGGTACTACTGTTATAAATCACTTCCCACTTGGACATCTTGAGTGACATTGTGTGCGGATTCAGTACTTCATATATTAAAAGGCCAAGGGTGTCTTTGGCATTATTAGACCACTGTTCATATTGGTTTAAGAGATGCTTGTAACAAGACTCACCTACAGCTACTCAACTGCACCTTTGAGGCACCTTTCAAAGCATGCGGCTGAACTTTGCAAGATATCACTGGGTCAGACTTGATTGAGCAGGTGCTCCATGGGCTGCCCTGAGAGTGTACAGACCCATCCAGACAGAGGCTGGGAAAATGGCTTGCACCCACACCAGAGCTTTGGGACTTTGCCAGGGAGCTGCAACAGGCCTTCATCCAAATGTTGTTTAAGGAGCTATATGCTGCTTTTTCATTGCTTGTTAAAATGTTTTCCTTCTAAGATACTGATTCTGAAGCAGCTATTTACAAGACAAATCTGTGAGCAATTTTAACTTGTTGCACTGCAGAGCTAACTGCAGCTGTCCTGGGATGACCCTGGGAAGCTGGAGTGAGCGCTTTGGCAGACATCTTTCCCAATGCTCTGTTTTGTGATTTTATTCCCAGTATTTTGCCTGTTTGTTTATGATGAGGCTTTAAGGGAAAGAGATGATGCATATGCTCATCAAGAAAGCAACTAGGCCTGTGGGAACTCAGCAGCTGCATAGGATGACTGTCTTAGTGGAAGGTCAAGACTAGGGGCAGTACAGGGCCACAGGCTGGCCCTACAAGGCTTTGCTCACTTGCAGGCTAGGATTTACCAACCCAAACAGGGCACATGGAAATTCAGTCTGTTAGTCATGCAGACCTGGGTTTTATCTAGCTTTTGCCATCTTAGCTGGAGCTAAGATCTTGTGATTGATAACTCCAGAACATAGGCCTCATCGTGCCAAAGGTATCACTCTGAGCTGCTGTTTCCTTCAGAATATGAAGCATGGTGCAGATGAGACAAAGAAAAGCCAAACTTAAAACTCTGAAAACAAATTGAAGCATCGCTCCCTGAACGCATGCACCTCACCAGTGACACTGCCAGCACCAACAGAAGGAAATTGAACTGGAGTCAGCAATGTATGAGGACTGTGTTAAGGCATGATGTTTGGACATGATGTATGTTTACTAGGAAATTAGGAGGTGAAGGGCTGTAGGGTTGAGGGATTACAGTGTTTAAGAATTCTTAGAGAAAGAG